ACTGTAAAATTCATACTTGACTTTAATATTACAGCAGTTGGAAGTTATATATTCCTGACTGTTGGTAAGCAGTTTGTTTGTCGTAATATCATGGTCTTGACAAGGTGGGCATCAATGTAGTGTAAGAGCCTAGGACTTACGTACAAGGAAAATCAAGTCGAACCTCGTTACTATTTTGTGCTCGTGCATTTTGAGTGTAACATTAAATTCGAATATTGAAAGTCATGTAGGGATGATCTATGTATAGCTGTATCATCCCTATATTCTTGTTTGCATTATTTTTTGGCACTGCCATCCCTACTTCATTTTACAGTTAGTGTATTCTCTGAATGTGTGTTATAAAATTTAATACTTTGTGCATTGACTTTTGTTTTTACTCCTTCCATTCATACATAATATAGGGGTTGGCTCCCTAAAGTAACCGATTGCATAGTGTACAAAACATTGAGTATTTTACATGTTACAGTCATCTAATGTTTATCTATTTATTATTGGCTGGTAACTCCTGTTTGACACAGTACCTAAGCCTTTTAAAGGAACACCACATTTCTGTAAGAAAGCTAACTTCAAGGGATAATATTTGTAATTACTACCAGTTATTACAACTAAGCGATGACATCGTGCACTGCCCAGAAACACACAGAGTAGATTTAGGTTTAAACTGACGTTAGTGATAAAGTAGTTGTAGAGTTACAAGAAGAAAGATGAACAATTTGGTGGGTTGGTCACTTTCTGGTTTGGTATCTTAGCAATGGTTTTCTTGCCTTGTTGGGTAGAAAAACAAATGAAAGTGGGTGGCAATCATTCTTGAAAGTAGACCTATCTGTCATTGTTGAGTTTTAGCTTGTATATTTGTATTATGCCTATTGAGTACCTTGGCTATCCCTACAAGTACAATATACAGATTCTATGATAAATCTTTAAAGCAGATACCATGTAATCCCATTAAAATCATTTACTTCTATATGTACTCAATAGATGGCAGGACCAACACTTTTGTTTATTTTCTCAAAATTTATTATAGTTGTTAAGCGCAAAGCTACATGATGGGCATTTGTACTTTGTATACAGCGGGTAGCGAAACGTTATTTTAGCGTTATAATCCCTGAGACTTACCGCTGAGCCACACAGGAGGGAGGTAGAATTTAGGAGATGCGTATAAAATAAGATATATAAGTTTTCAATTAGAGGCATTTATGTTTTCTCATAGTTAAAAAGGAATTATATTTCAGTAATTCATACTAAGATTTCCATAGTTTATCAAGTTCTAATTAAATAATTTTACATTTTGCTGCATAATTCAAGTACACGCTGTTACGTCTCCGTTTGTTAATTAACTTTCCGTAACTTCGTTCCGACGAAACTTTAGCGACACAAGTCCTTACTTAATAAAACTGGTTTATTCTTTCTGAATATAACTTTACGATACAATTGATTTCAACATTAACGCTAAAACAAACGCTATAACGAACTTCAACAATACTCTCTGACTGCAGATCAATTACTCACTACCTACACACATTGTCCAGTCACGTTGTGAGCGTCTTATATATACCAGCCCACCCCCAATCTAGCAAATGCTAGAGCACTTCCGAAGGAACAGGAACATAAAACTGATAATAATATTTGCGTAAACACAATAATCAATTCTGTTATCAAAAGCAAATCAAACTATTTGATCCAGATTGTATTGAGACAAACTTGAAAAATTCATTCTCTGTTGTTATAGTACAAAAGAGACAAATGCCATGCATGCATTATAAACTTCATTTACAAATCAAAGGTCAAAATAATGAAATAACAAATTAAATAGAAAATACAAAAGAACATTTTTAGTGTCTAGGATAAAAAAATTAAGATAAAAAAGTCTGGAATTTATTTTGAAATTTATACATTTTCTTGACTTACTTCTTTTTAGCTCAATGTATATCCAATGCTAAACTAGATCTTTATTCTATCTAGCAGTTTCAAATATTATTATTATTATTAAATTACAGGTGTTGAATGCATGATACTAAATTATTTTGGAACCTCACTCCGTTGTTGCAGTTCGTGTCGCCACGTCCAGTCAGACTCTATCTGACGATCATAGTTTAAATTCTGTTGTTGTTTTAGCGCAAATCTAATGACCTGGTGATTAGGGCACTTGACTCACAATCTACTGATCATGAGTTCCAATCCCGTCACCGGACATGATCGTCCTTTTAGCCATGAGGACGTTATAATGTGACGGTCAATTCCACTTTTCGTTGGTAAAATAACAGCTCAAGAGTTAGTGGTGGATAGTGTTGGCTAGCCACCTTCCCTCTAATGTATCATTGTAGATTAGGAACAACTAACGCAAAAGCTCTCGAGTTGTTTTGCGCTATCAACAAACAAATGCTTTTCTAACGCTGAACCCTTCAATCCATAGACCAACACGCAAACTACTAGGCCATGCCCAGTCCTCTTTCAGTTTGTGTATTTTCGATATACATGTAGTTCCTTCGCAAGCTTTTCAATGAAATGACACTATGTTAGAGATGAGTAATCATTACTTCATTCTAATATAGTTGTAAGCATTTTAACTTTAAATAGATCATTAGTATTCTAAGATAATATACTGTTACGACAGCGGAAGTCACGTGGCGCTGGTAACACGTCATGAGTTTCTAGAAGGATCAGGGAACATCACGAATATCCTAGTATTTGCTAGACGCCCTCTATTTTTGTATATAAGCCCGGCAAATAAAGCGGAGATATGATAGCAGACAGGAAGATATAGAGACAGATAATCGAGTCACACCGTAAGTAAAGTGTGTAAATCATTGTGAATTATAGTGTGTGTTTAAGTAAAGTTTAAAGTGGCTGTGGAAATTCTGTGTATCGCAAAGTTGTATTCAGGAAG